AGTGCGTACCTGCCACATTCACCATACAATTTGTTGTTGTAATATCCACATTTAGGAACGTCTTACATGCCAATAAATGCATTGTTTCAATCTGTTCAAATGTCTGCTCCATATAAAAGCATTGGTTAAATCTGTGAATCAGAAAGTTTATAAAAATATCTGGAGTGATATAGGCCCGAATGGGTAAAGTGATAAAAGTAGGTGTACAAGTGCTTTTTCTGCTTATCCTGGGGGTAGCCTAGTGGTTCAAGCGTTCGCTCGTCACGCCGAAGACCCGTGTTCGTTTCCCCCACATGGTTACATTGTGTGAAACTCATTTCTGGGGTTCCCTGTACAACCCCACTATGTAAAATCAAGAAAATATGTAAAAAATAACGCAATATGTAAAACATTAACGCAAATGTAAAAAGTGTCTTTAACGCAATACGTAAACACCTAGCGCAAAATGTAAAAATAATTTTTAACGCAATTTGGAAAGGATGAACGGAATCCATAAAATACAGTTTTATTGTTGTCTTGGCGACAGAAATTCATATTTTTAGAAACTTATCTTTATTGCTTTTCAAAATAACTAAGCTATTGCAATATTTCTGTCAAAATTAACTTAACTTAGCATTTTTAACTTAATTGAAATCTGATCTTTTGGGTAATTTAACATCAAGTATAGCCGATAATGTGTAATATACATTATATAGATACTTGATATCATAATCTATATTCGACAGTATCCAAGGAAATCATTTTATTACTTACGAGGGCGAACATATCGGGGTTAATATTTTTCATACGATGCCCTAGGGCAAAATATCACTTTGTCACAGGTTTTTTCAATCTTACCTCAAAATACACAAATGAAATGCAACAAATCCTGATAAAACGTTTGAGCCATCCCATAGGAATTACGAGACACCTGACAGAGTCCAGTGATATTTCTTGGCTACTTTCCTGAAAATGAAGGGGAACACTACATTAGTATAAACCCAACTGATCAAGTTAAGAGTAGAACAGGTAGAATGGGCAAAGAGAGAAGTAGCAGAGTTCAGGTCCACAGTGTGACAAGATCGTTGTCCAGAACAATGGGACAGTGAGAGAGAAAGTGGTCCAGAGCAATGGGACAGTGAGAGAGAAAGTGGTCCAGAGCAATGAGACAGTGAGAGAGAAAGTGGTCCAGAGCAATGGGACAGTGAGAGAGAAAGTGATCCAGAGCAATGGGACAGTGAGACAGAAAGTTGTACATAGCAGAGGGACAGTGATGTCATTGCGGTTCCATTTCTACCAAATCTGGTTATAGGAAAAGAATCATCCCTGCCTACCTCTATTCGGCGCGTTTGACTTCAGCAACAGAGTTTTGAATGTTTATAGAACAATAAAGTCTGTAAACCGTCGGTTCGGTCAAATTGCCACATCAGTTGACATCAAACGGCCAAGGATATATTACCTTCTACACAAAATCCCTGACACTGTAAGTGTTTGAAGGCTTTTTCTACTGTATGGAAAGGGCAGTGGACTGGCAATTGGTCTCCGAAAGTTAGTTGAAGATGAAAACTGGATAAATGCTTGACTTAAGGTTGAATACCTGGCATTTGGCTGAGAGGGGGGGGAAGACAGAACAGCCCTATTATTTTCCAGTTGACCTTATTCATTGCTTTATATCACGATTACGTCATTTAATAAAAGTACACATTTGAACATCTTCTTTCATATTCTCAGTTGGTTTACTGGAAGTTGTTTCTCACCCGCAATTGAAGCTATGGCGGGTCAAAATGCACGAATTTAGGAATCATTCCAGTATTCCATTAAACCGCCCATCGTTGTTTCATATACTAGTATATAGTCAATTCAAAACTATTGGCGCTCTCTCCTAGATCAGTTGCTAGGTCAATGGTCAGAGCTACCATCTCGATACCAAGTACCAACTGCAAATAATTCGAACCGCCATAAACAATGAGTTAAAATTGGATATATTACAACAACTTGCATGTTATTTGAACTCGATTAAAAAGGATCAATAAGTGGTTTTCTTTAAAAACCCAATTTGGTAATCACAGGTTATAAACAACGGAATGGACAGTTTGAAGGAGTCAAACCCAAAAGGCAATACCTTCTTGAATAAGACATAATGAATATAACCCAAAATACCATAATAAAACAGAGTTTGAAGAATAAAAATTATTCTTTTAAAACTTTCGAAAATAGACCATAAGATCGATTAAAATATCTCTATATACAAGTAAATTATATGTTTATCGACTATGCTTTTGTTATAAAGTTAAAAAAGGCATTTTTTATACAAGAAAAAATATCACAAATCCATTATATTGAAAGTTACGGCTATTTCGCGATAGAGGTGATCGCATCGCGATCATGCAGTTCCATCTTAATTTTTGTAAATATAGTCATTTGTTGCCAATTTGTGAAAAAATGGATTTCGATTGCCACCCCTATTGCGTTAATTTTTTTACATATTAAGTTAAAAATTGTTTTTACATTTTGCGTTAGGTGTTGTACTTTTTGCGTTAAAGACACCTTTTACATATAGCAGTTTTTTACATACTGCGTTAGTTTTTACATATTGTCTTGATTATACATATTGTGGTTGTACATCCCCACCGTGATATTGCTGGAGTATTGCTGAAAGCGGCGTAAAACCCCGCTCACTCACTCACGCTGCTTATACTGATAACGGCAACAACAGATTTACCAAGGTTCAAAGTACACCCAGTAATTTATATTCAGTAACTTTTTTCATTGAACTGTCAAAACAGAACCATTGTTTGATTTTAGCAAGTCGTTCACCCCTTCTATATTCTATGTACATCAATATTTGACTATCAAGATTGAGAGCTAATTTCCTTTCGTTCATGTCAGCTCAATTGTTCTGTAAACCAACCACTGTGTCCGATACACCACGAAGATCACACTGTCTTCAAACAGTAACAGTAAGATCTCCAAAATATCAGGAAACAGTTGTCCACCATGTTTGCCCTTACAAATTATTTCAGTTTCTATTTTACTGATAAAGAAGGAAAAAGAATAGGACTTAACTAACAGCCTTGTTTAACACCTAATGGACCATCAAAATTGTCAATGAATTCCCCATTACTACGTACACAAGCCTTTACGCTCACATATAAATCTTCCCATATATAAACATAACCATAATTTCTGTCGATTTGTTCGATAATTTCAATCACACTTATACATATGTCAAATAATACATGCACTAAAATAGCTAGCAACAACGCCCAAGGTAATATAAATGATGAATAAATAATAATATGTTTAAGATTCAGAGCTGTAGTGGCGATTGTAGGACAAAAACCCCTGTGGACAAAAGCCCCCAAGGACAAAAACAACCAAATGAGGACCTTTGGACAAAACCCCCAAACATGTTTTAACTACTGAGTGCTTGACTTAGTGACATGTTTTGATTGAATCAGTAATAGAGATCATCAGTGACAGGGATTAACAGGCTTCATTAATTAACTTAGTACTTCGTTTGTAAACAACATGAAGGGTGAAGCTTCATTATTGATGAGGATTAACTGACTTAATATTAGAGAGTATTAAAAGTTTAATTAACCAGCATAGTATTTAGGTATGTACACATTATTAAGTATTTCAAGTCACTGTCATATTACAACTGGTATAAATATATGCTCCATAAACTAGATAGGCAGTAGCATTCCAGCATGGAGATATTGAAGAATGATATTTGTGGTGTCAAGTTAAGCTACGAAGGCTATATGTACACAAAGAAGAGCACTTGAAAGTCATATATTCACTGGGAATGTACCCCGTTTATGCAAGTGCTCATTGGTGCTCACAATGTATGTGATGTCGGCTAAATAAAATATTTGAATAATAAACAATCTTCATTATTCATTTGGAGTTTTTTTGGGGTTTGTCCTACATGGTAGGGTATTTTTTGTCCTAAGGGGGTTTTGTCCAAGGGGTTTTTGTCCTAGGGGGCTTTTGTCCACAGGGGTTTGGTCCGCAAACCGTAGTAGCTACACTTAAAGTTTTGCTGAGGAACATTAGCACTAACCGTATATAAATATAACAGTTTGAACCAATTGATAAAGTATTATAAAATGATTACCAAACATTAAAACAATTCATTTAAAACACTGATGCTTGCTGGGATGAAAGAATTTCGAGCCCTGTTTGTTTTGAATATCGGCAAGAAGGAAGAAGTTGAAATTCAGGAAATAGGACATGTGTGCTGTCATTAAAATTGTACGTGCTTTTTTTCAATTTGCTGCTTGTAAATAGTGTATATATCTTGCATCAGTCAAGAAATTTTACTTGTTGTGTTCATAAATTTGGAAAGTTTACATCGATTTTGAACACACAGACCGCCATACCAGCGATGTACATTGAAAACTAAAATACTTACTTATAAAATAACTAAAATACTGACTTATAGAATAACGACAGTATAGTTGTGGCAATCTTAAAATAACGAAGACGACGTACAAAGTATAGCCGCTTTAGTCCTTTCTTGTATATGTAATCAGTATACAATTTATCTTGACTTTACAATAAATAACTGAGAAACAAAAGAAACTCTAAACATGAGTGATCTTTTCAGATGTTGGTAAATGTGCGGTGTTATAAGGAAAGCATGATCTGTACTGGCGCTTTATCAACATTAAAAGAATACTCGGTATGGTATTTCTTTTCACATAATTTCATTCAAATTTTATAAATTCACTAACTTGCATAATACGTAAATGATGACGGTGTATCTCAGACATCTTGTCTATGAAAATAATTACTTTTGCCTGTTTTGGAGAATTTGAACCATTTCAAACATGCTGGGAGTCATGTTGAGGTATAGTCTCTTGTTAACCCAGGCTTCATTTAACTTACTTTACCCAATGCTGAGTGATGGTTAAATAGATATACTCAAATCTAAAAACATTTCTTTTGAATTTTCAATTTAAAAAAACATACCTTCAATATCGATTCCGATTAGCCCCTGGTATTGTTCGAACATGAATCAATACTTGGAGGAAGTGTCTCAGGTGCCATATTTCGAGTTGAGGCACCTTTGTTAGTGTGACAAATATTGGTTTATGTAATGATAGGTACTACTGAACAGCTGATTAAACATCTAAAACAAACGCTTCACTATTTGGACCACTGTTGCAATATGGAAAAATTCTCATGGCCGTTCATCCATCGGAACCCAGTTTGGTATAAATACCCCGACTCCCTCCTTGAATACCACTTCATTGACGGCTCCACACACAGCAGAATGAATTCCCTTCCCATACTAGTCTTCCTGTCACTGGCAGTGTTGGTGAGTTCTGAATATCTGTCTACGAAATACAAGGAAACATATTTTCAAACTGCTTTGGAAGCCGAAAGAGAAGCGGCGACTCTACGACATCACAGGCCCCGCTACAACTACGTCGACTACTCCAGCGATTGTTGCCGTAACGGCAACAGCAACTGTGGATGGACCCGTTATTGTAAGTATTCAGTAAAATGTAACGTAGATTATTCGAAAGAGTTTATGAACATTTTATAACAAATCAACGGCTATAGCAAGTGATTTCTCACCTCAAACGGACCGCCAGAGTTTCTATTCACGAAAACCTGACATCATGACTATTTGATATAGACGCAATCATGAAGAGTTCCCTGAAGAGTTTTCGAATAATTATGAACCCTTGAAGACCAAGTTAGAATTGATCTTCAGTAGCTCATGCTTGTCGTAAGAGGCGACTAACGGGATCTGGTGGTCAGGCTCGCTGACTTGGCTGGCACATACTAGTATTTTCGAATCCCAACTGTGTAGATCGATGCTCATGATGCTGATCACTGGGTAGTCTGGTCCAGATTCGATCATTTATAGACTCTCGCGATACGAAAAAGGTTAGTTTGTCCAGCTGTACCTGTAGCACCCTCAAAATGAAAAAAAAATGGCAGTGAAGTTAGTGTGAAAACACCATGTGAAGGTCAACACATGTAACAGCACATCGTGTTGACAAACATCGAGTCCATTGCTCTGAATGTTTAGATATATCTTCCACAAAGGTCCTGAAATAACTTAAGCGGTAACTTGACCGAGAACTGTAATCAAATTCTTTCAAGAATATCCTGAGTTAATCTCACTGCTTCACATTCGTTATTATAGTCAATCGTGACGAACTGTTCGACGCATCAGCACACCGGTTGCCGACTAACCTGTATCTGTCTAAAATGCCTTACTCACACGTGTTGGCCTGTCGAATCGATGTCGTATATATCGTCTGAGCGATTAATCGAATTCAACAAACAGGTACAAATCGGTCACTCGAACCCACGTCGATTGTGTCGCCAGTGTGTAGAGCTTGTTCTGGATATTTAGCACGTTGGATGTGGCGCGGCCAATCAAATTGCGTTTTGGTTTCACGTGGTAAATGTTTTTTTCATAAAAGCGTGAAACATGGCTTCGTCTGCTTCAAAGAAACCACGCCTCGATTTTTCATGGGAGGAAACGGAGGGTTTCGTGGCTTATTATCTGAAATTGTTGTATGCTCCAATCTTTCACGCAACAACTTCTCTTTTTCTTCGCTTTGGCATTGTAGTCTTCTTCACATAGTATCGCTCAGCTGATAACTGCTGCTAAGTCAGCTTCAGACATTTGGATACCATGGAAACGAAATACCGCGAGATATCATGAGATCGACACTAATATCGGCAGATCGAATCGTGTAAACGGTTGCAAACAGATCAGTCGATATTCGTTACAACCACCGAACATGTTGTACAATGTATGTATAGCAATCGGCAAGTCGTTACGACGTGCCTACTAGGGGTGACTATTGATTGGGAAACAACTATTGCGATAGCGATAGTCTATAACAACATATTATTGCCATAGCGATAGTCTATAACAACATATTATTGCCATAGCGATAGTCTATAACAACATATTATTGCCATAGCGATAGTCTATAACAACATATTATTGCCATAGCGATAGTCTATAACAACATATTATTGCCATAGCGATAGTCTATTGCGACCAACTATTGCAATAGTTGTTTTTTTCCTTGAATTGTCGCATGTAAAGTCATTTCCCAAATGAATGTATAGTTTATATGAAATAGAATCAAGGTAAAATAGCTTTGGTCTCTTTTAATAACAGACAAGAAACTTGAAATCCAGATCAAGTAAACAGTTAAAACATAAACTCAATGAAGTCCGCACCCAAAAAATAAATAAATACAAAACTACGTAAATATTTCATAAAAATATTTTGCTGCGCATTTATCAACGGAAGTCATTTACTAAACTATCGATAGTCACACATACTATCGATGCATCGATAGTTCTTCGTTTCTACCATCGCTTAATTGCTATCGGAGACTCAACAATAATTATTGCAATTCATCGAGAGTTCGATGCATCGTTACAGCCCTAGTGCTGACCTGTGTGAGTCGCGCTTTAAGTTTGTCATGTCTTGTCTTGTTTCAGATGCTTCCTACTACTACGGTAGACAGTACAGAAGTAGAGGATGCTATTATTATAGGCCACAGAGTTGTGTGGTATACTGCGGATGTGTGGGAGAACAACAATGTTCCGCAACAACTGCTGCCGCTACAACCACTACAGCCACTACAACTACAGCCACTACAACAACCACAACTACTACTACAACAACAACTACACCTACAACTACAACTGAAGTCACCACTACAACAGCTCCTCCAACAACAACAGTCACAACACGATGTGAGTTTGATGGACAGATCTTGTATTGTAAAATACATATTTCCTGGCACAACCGTGGAAATTCATTGGCGGAATTGGTATGGATCAATATCAATCTTCCGTGTGCTGTAGACTCATTTGACCCGTGAAGGTCCGGGTTAGAATGAATCTTTAGTAACCCATGCTTGTCGTAAGAGGCGACTAACGGGATCGGGTGGTCGGTCTCGCTGGCTTGGTTGACACATGTCATCGGTTCCCAACTGCGCAGATCGATGCTCATGCTGTTGATCACTAGATTGTTTGGTCCAGACTCGATTATTACAGACCGTCGTTATATAGTTGGAATATTGCTGAGAGCGGCGTAAAACTAAATTCACTCACCCAGACTCATTTGTCAAAGACACAGATCATATGGCTGAAATATTGCTGAGGTAACGTAAGTTACGACCAAACTGAGGATCGAACGCAGACTATGAATTCGAAATTTTGCTTATGTCATCAACCACTCGTATGAATGAATATTTACATGCACGATACAAGTAGAATATCGCTGAGTGAGACTTCAAGAGTATACTCGCTTACTGACGGGTTGTACAATTTCAGTTTGTCCTGCTGAGGCATCTACCACGCCAACCTCCGTCACCAGGTTACTGAACGGCATCGCCATCTCCGGTTGCGGTGAGTTCCCAGGACTTGTCGCCATCCAAACTGCTGCAGGAACTGTATGTACTGGAGTCATCACAGGCCCCACTACCCTGTCTGTACCAAGCAACTGTGCTGTTTTCGTAGCCAACGCAGAGTAAGTTATGTATATGATACTCATTATGTTTATATTATTATTAACATTGGTAGTGGTAATATTAATGTTATAGCTGGTGACATCATGTCCATTAGTGCCAATCGGCATTGCCCAGATTGGTAGATAGATTGGCCCCACTGTCCTGATCTGAGAGAGTGAGTTTAGTTTTACGCCGCATTCAGCAATATTCCAGCTATATGGCGGCGGTCTGTAGATCATCGAGTCTGGATCAAACAATCCAGTGATCAACAGCATGAACATTGATCTGCGCAATTGGGATACGAACGACAGCCCGGGCGCATGACGCGATATATCGTGCACTTGCAAACAATGGGATGTCTTTTCATTTACGTTTGCAAGAATAAACGTTCTTGTATTGAAGGTTCGGTGGGGTAGTCTAGTGGTTAAAGCGTTCGCTTGTTACGCCGAAGGCCGTTTTCGATTTCCCACTGGGGTACACTGTGTGAAGCCCATTTCTGGTGACCCCCGCCGTGATATTGCTTGCATATTGCTAAAAGCGGCGTAAAAACATACTTACTCACTCACTCACTTACTCTTGCATTGAAGGTTGTGGTCAACACTAAACTGTATTTTGGCACATGGCATATTAAAACAATGTTACCTTCATGACTAATGGCGATGCTGGTTACTGTAATAAATTACATTCCATTACCGGTGGCTGTTCAATACACGTGACAGTAAAACAAATATCTTCATTGTAAAAGGGTCGGTTGTTATTAATGTGAACCCTTTGCGAAAGGATCCTCTCAGGCTCTTCGCTTTCGTCTCTAACGCAAGGAGCTTACACATGTAGGTCCTTGCAGACATATATGTTCTAACGGTTTCCCATTTGCATACACAAGATCATAACTAGTAGCACAGCATATATTATTGAACATTCAAATGTCTAAGGCGCAGACTGAGTCGTACCCGAGTCCATGAGAGTTGTTCTTGAAGGAGCTTTCTAGTTGCAGGATTCCCAACATTGGTTCAATATTTGAAGCCAATTTCCTCCTCGTTCAATCAATCACTGCCTCAAAGACTCCAAGAAAATAGGAAATTCAAAACATGATCCCCACTGGTATTGTTTCTGTGTACATCCTGCACTTATCAGTTGCGTTGGCACTACCATCAGTAAAAACTAGTCTAACAATATGTGTTTTCCCTTCTTAGTGTTGTGGCTCAGGATGGAACCGTTGTCGCAACAGGCATCACAGGTAAGAGACGAGTCACTTGTCAATAAACGATGTTCAGTTTTATTTGGATTTGTTTGTTTGTTTGTTGTTTAACGCCGCACTCAGCAATATTCCAGCTATATTGCGGCAATCCGTAAATAGTCGGGTCTGGACCAGACAATCCATTGATCAACATCATGAGCATCGATCTACACAGTTGGGATACGATGACAAGTGTCAGCCAAGTCAGCGAGCCTGACCACCCGATCCCGTTCAAGCATGTGTTGCTGAAGACCAATTCTAACCCGGACCTTCACGGGTCTGACTGAAGTGACGTAATGAGGTCATTGGCAATATAAAGCAAGAGGATCCATTTTACCACTGACAAAAGTGTTCTGTGTAGGCTGACTACTTGTTAACCCAGACTTTATCAACGCACTACATTGAGCTGATGGCAGATTTTAATGTAACATTGTATGGCAGAAATTTGTGGGAGGAAGTTATGTACATTGTTTTGACTCGAACTAATTAGAAATGTTTTAAAGATCTTTTAAGGGCTTAAAAAGAAGGTCCTTATTTAGAGATAGCATAACTCAACACAGCTATACCTTCCCTTGGAAATTTCAGCAACCCCCGGCAGTATTGGTGGTCCAGTAGAAGTGACCTTACCAACAGCTGTAGCATCTGATAGCTGCCCCGGCATCGCCTGCGTCTACTCAAGCACCATGGCCAACGACATCCTCCTTAATACCTGCAAGGTTGCTGCAGCCGGATATGCTGATAATGCCGGTAAGTTGCTGTCGTAGGTGTTTGAAACATTCCCATGGACGAATTCGTTAAATGTTTGCGTGAAAGATGCTGGAGACGATCTCGATATTTTGGGTGAGGAGAAATGGTTTATTGTCGTGTTCGAGGTTGTTTCACATGCATGCATGTGTTCGTGAGGCTGTTTGTACACGTCGGGATTTATGTTGTGCTAACCTGCTTAGATACCATTCCGCAGCTGAAAAAGACTGCCTAAGACATGCGTTGTACCGATTCAATTTTTTCACATCACATGTAGATATTTTTTAAGTCATGGCAAGAATACAAGGAGTTCTCAGTGAAAATAGAACCAAGAACGCTTTGATGACACAAAAGACATGCTTCTTTCAAAATTCAGCATACGAAGTGAACTATGTGAAAGTAAACCACTTATCATTTTCAAATATTTCAGAAAAAAGGTTTTTTGTTGAAAAAATCTGAGTTCTCCAAACTCCTGCAATCCTAGCCGTCGTAGTGTTTTATATGAAGACCCTTTATGTCTCTCCACTTCAGGAACTACAACTCCTAACTTCGAGTATCTGGATATCCCGTCTCTCCAGCCAACCGACACCTGCCAAGCCAATCTTGAGGGCACCACCACAGCCTCTTTCTTTGATTTCACGAACTCTGCCATCACCTACAACTGCTTCTTCAGTGCTGGTGGTTCCACATGCGCCGTATGTATATCACTTCCTTCAGTTCCCATGCTGAGAAGATGGTGTTAGGTTCATAGTGAAGTCCCTACATTGTTATCACCTTCGACACCCGACACTGTGGTTTGATCCTAGATCAGATGCGTTGGGAGCATTACATACTCCTAGAAAGTAGGGGACTTTCATTTTAAATTTATGATTGAAACAAATGGGAGATAAATCGGAGTCAATCAGTGTTGATATGATAATAATGAATGTTTTGAGAGTGCATCACCACTTGCACTTCCTTATGACCATAGTTGTTTGTACAGTAATCGCTCTTGAATGATGATTTGTGTATGGCGTAAAATTTGCATGTGTACGATTTTCATTTTCAAAGAAAAACACGGCTAGAAACAAACACTAACACCTGTGTGGTGCAAGATGATTGTCAAAATTAATGGTCTATGGTGATCTGTCGACCTTCTTGAAAACCGTCAAAATCAGGAATGACACCCCACGCACGTGTATGGGGCTACTACGTTGTGCACGTGCATCCCATGTGTTGTGTTTAGGGGTGGTGATAAATAGCAATGGTGGTGCGTTCCTAAGATATTCGTCTTTGAATAGTTTGTTAACGCTTATACTTCCTGTCAAAAGTGAAAGGAATAATATGTGTGTCTCTTTTCAATTTTCCTCACCAATGGCCTATGGGATAGCCCTACCGAAGACACGGGACAGCGAACCTACATGTTCAATAACCAAAAGCCTGTTCTGGTAACCCTTGCCGAAAAATATGATTTGAATTGTTTTACGGGCGGTACCGCATCTTGCTCACGCATACATCCGTGCCAGTAAACTATGAATGTGTCAAAATCGGCTCTGCGAAAATGCTATGAAAGTTAAGTTCCTTTCAGTTCTGAGTGCCAGAAACTGAACTAAAAGCTTTATCACAAATGCAAAGTTGATACGTAACTAGTCCTGTCCATACTTTCAGGGCGACTTCGGTGGACCAATTCAGTGTGACCTGACTTCCGGAGAACAAGTGGTGATTGGGCAGGTAGAGAATGGCGACTGTACAGCTGGCTCTGCTGTAGGGTTCTACAACCTCGAGACAGCGAGTGTTCGTGTGCTGGCCGTAGGCATTGACCAAGTCCAGCTGGGATGACCATATCGTATCAACTGGTCTCTTGTTCCTTGACGAATAAACGCTTGAACATTTATGGTTTCATGTTGTACTTTAGACTGTGTACATGTGTGTGTTTGTCAAAATTCTAAATCCTAAGAAGTCCAATCCGTTTGTAATGATAGATGTGATTTAAAAAATACTAGTCGTGACGCTAGGTGTTACCATACGACCACTAAATAATTGTCATTAATAATAAAATACGCACAGGTATCTACGAATGTTATGAAAAATTATTTGTATCTTTACTTGACAATTTCCAAATTGAAAAAAGGTTAATGGAGAAATGTATTCGCAAAAACATTCAGCGTGAAACACAAAAAAACCCAACTAAGCAATGGTATTCATAAGAAAGGCAAGATTGATGGATGTCAACACTTCTTTATTGTGAATAACACGACGTTTCGGAGTGTATGCTTGCTCCTTAATCTGGTGAATGGTAGGGAGTATAAGGGGGATATACATACATACATGAAGCACTTACAAAGAAAACATTTATAACAAGTTTAACAATGTTGAGGAAAGAATATTTGATAAAAACATGAGGCCAGTGATACACTAAAACAACAGGGTAATAGATTTGATGGGATATAATATACTATCCCAAAAAAGAAACGCATAGGTGTTTTGTAATTTTTAAAATCTATTAATAACCTTTTTGTGTTCAAACAATGATCGTCAAAATATGTAACAAAAGTGTTGATAACATGATTTTACACAATGGCACAAGTAAAAATCGAGTATACTTGAAAAAAATGATTTTGATGAGATCTCTTACAAGCATTAAAAAGGCATCGCCACAATGCAACCGAAATCACCGTCCAGTTGAAATTGTGCAGCAAAGAGCATGCACTGTCTGGCTATAAAAATCCAGATTACTTTCGGAAATCGGCATTCGTTTTGAAGGCGTTTCAAGGTCAAATCACTACGTCACGTCTTGACTCTGCGACAAGGAACATCGCCATTGAAAGAATGCACACTGGAGATTACCAATCTTCTGTTGCCAGGTGTCTGAATGTTAGTCTGACACGATATCACGGCTTGCAGCTCGTTACAACCAAACAGGTATAACAAATGACCGTCCTCGTACGGACAGAGCTCTACCCAGCAGGCACATCAACGTTGTATCAACGTTGTTTCAACGTTGAGAATAGGTTGGTCCTCAACGTTGAAATTAAATTGAAAATAGGTTGTATATGAAAGTTTTTTAGACGTAGATGTCCAACGTGGAATCAACGTTGATGTTTGACCTATTATCAACGTTGAAAAAAGGTTGGATATGAAAGTTTTTTAGACGTAGATATCCGACGTGGAATCAACGTTGAAGTTTGACCTATTATCAACGTTGAAAATGGGTTGTTCCGTGGTTGTATATGAAAGTTTTTTAGACGTAGATATCCGACGTGGAATCAACGTTGAAGTTTGACATATTATTAACGTTGAAAATAGGTTGTTCCGTGGTTGTGTCTGGGAGGTATTACGCTTCCTGTAAATAGACTCGCACTTCATCTTTAAACTACACTAAAGTAGCACCAAACTCATGCATCCAGCTAAAATACCCAAAAAGCTACCTGCAATAAACAGTGTTCAAACATAAAATTGCAGTAAAAATATTTACCTGATAAAATACTTGGTTAAAATTCCACATTCAATATAATGTTCATTTAAGTTTTATGTCAGTTGGACGTATAATTCCAGTAAGAAGAAAAGAGTATTCCAAATTAAGAAAAACTATTTACTGTTGTATTGTTGGAGGAAGGTGGAAATTGTCCTGAGAAGACATTTTGTCTGAATTTCAGCTATTAGACAGACCCCTGAATAAACACATAGCAATTACTTTCACCATGAAAGGGATCCACGATGAACAGGAACTATACCTGAAGACAGCACATAAAACCAGTCACTTTTTATGAAATCTTTATGAACACAAACGCACACAGAGAAATGTGGTTTAAAGCATAATGTAAAACATTACACATGACATAGTCTGTAGGTGATCTCTGTTGTGATAACACAATATCATCTGCATATAGCATTAAACTGACATACAACTTCTCTTCTTTCTGCCACTCCCTGCCTGGCGGTCAGGTGGATACTTCAGAAACGTTCCTTACTCTTTCTTGAAATTTGCTTCGAATGCATTCCCATCTCATTCCCATGAGATAGGACACGTTCTGAAATTTTATATTTAAATACATGAATAATTATATATGGAAGATATATTGTCTTAAATGATTTAAGTATCTGTTTAATCAATCACTTGAAAGGTTCATTTCACTGCTGTAACTTGCCATGTGAACATATGAACAGCATCAATACAAAATGTGACGAAAAATGTAAACAATTTATATTTTCAACTAAAGGAATGGAAGTTTTCTTAAACATTTTCAAAGAAAATCCTCAATTGCAAGTTGATTATTCAATTAGACTATGCATCAGGATGAATTAGACGATGCTTTACTGTCATATATTATTTGCTATGGTCATGATGAAAATGCTGCATTTGGTAATTAAATCACCAGAGATGATTGAATACAACCTTGTATTCTTAAAAGAAAACTTGCCGTTTTGCCCATCAACATTCATTCTTGACATTAGTCGGATTTAGTTTTCTTTAGAGATTCTCGGAAACGATTATTTCAAATTAAATAGGAGTTGTACTGATGTAGCAATTTGGCTAACAGGAGTCATAAATTGTAACAAAAGCCATTTTACATTGAATGATAAGAAAACAAAATGGGTGGTGGTTCACAGGTCAAAGAACAAGTCCATTGTGGGAGGTCTTCCAACACCATTTATTCCCAAACACAAGGAAGTATGGATCATGGAGTTCTGAAAACAATAATGAGCTCTCATAAGTATTCCCTATTATCTACTCTGTCTCTCTTTGTCATTTGTACACTCATAAAACTCAGATAAATAACTTCTTCATAATTCAGAAATGTTTACACTTAATCTCTTATAGGAACGCTTAGAAAATCTCATATAATGAATTATGTGTGCCTATAATATCTGCGACGTCATAACTATGCTTCTCTGAATCATGAACAATAAAATAATGAGATTAAACTTTACACTGCCAGAAATAATCTATCATACCCTGAATAATAAGACACTGAATAACATCTCTTACAACTCGAATCTACACTCAAAAAGACTTAAATGTACTCGTAAACAAACATCGCTGGCACACGCAAATTTTTGGAAACAGTGTATCTCTGACTCTCAATTCCAAGAAATGGAAGTCCAACTCTATTTGACCAAAAGGGTGACAGGTGGCCAAAACATATTGAAATGTAGATCATACACTGAAAATAACTCTGATTTAAAACACTACAAATATACACCTTCTCTCTAATATACTCGATAGATGATCTTGACAAGGGAACATGTACATAAAATGCTGATATCTAACAATACCTGTACTCTAAATAATGGACTCTTCCAAATCTCAGTATGTTTCACTGCACACACATTTAAATGCAAAATAATGAAAAACCTACACTTTGACAATAATAAAGAAACATCATATTCAAATTCTACAGCTGACCAAATACCTGAAGAGTGTGTCTCCCAGTAAAAAACATCTATATATCTCTATAAATTTATGACTTCTGACCTCTTGCGTGCTTTCTCGCATCCAGCTCTTTACGGCGAAAAACAATATGGCGCCAAGCAAGGGAGTGCTCATTAAACTAAACATCTCCGGGAGAAATCATTGTCAAATTATTCTCTTACATGATCAACCTTTGTGGTGGATATACTGGAAACAAGTGAAATGTTAAAAACTTGTTACCTTAGCATTGCTCCTTTTATGTGATCCACAAAATTGATGCCACCCAGTCTTCGAAGATGACATTTCTGCAAATTCCATTAAAATTATATCTTATTTCATAATTAAATGTTCCTTACTAAATTACTTCTTTTGTATGTAACATTTTAACCATTAAGAGACATGAATCATCACATCCCTTCCAAACAAGTGTAAGAATGAAAGTCTGTGAGTGCAGTTTTGTTAATTGTCCCATCAAAGAATCATTAGTGAAGTTACACATTTTGTAAATAAATAACAGTTCAAATAAATTATATGCAATTTCATCCTTAACAAAGACTTGCACGAGACATTTTGATGTGAATTTTTGCAGCATGATCTGAGAAAGATTTCCTTTCGCCATTCTACACCCCCACCCCCCTCCCCCCAAATAATATGCATATGTTGACAGGGTTCAGAGCGTGCTCAATGCATAATTTACTGATAGACTTATTCAAACGAACAAATGTTCATAACAATGTGATGCAATATAAAATGTTGATAAATTCTATTCGATTTTGTATAGCTGCCCTTAGGGACCGTTCATAATGTATGGCTTGGGGTGATGATGATTTTATGAAGAAGCATGTACAATGTGAATTACCCTTCCCCTCAAAGTGTATGTACGAAATAAGTGACGCCCCACCCTGCATGTCATGTACAATATCTATGACGCCCTCTCTCCCTTCCCATAATTTCTAAGCATCATATTAAACATAGTGCGTGTGTACAAAAAATGCTCACCCCTTAGCTCCCCAGAACAAAATGGTTGACGCCCCCACCCCACCCACCACCCTTACAATCATCACCCCCACCCGCAGACATATAATTAGGAATGGTCCCTTATATTGATGTACTTCATTGATTATTTGAAAATGTATATTTGCAAAATTCAAATCAGGTGATGGGTACGAAAGGAAATCTTATTCGATTATATAATAAAATGCCAAATATATGCATGCAAATATATTGAAAAATAACAAAACAAGTTCATGGAAAACACGGGCTTCCCCTAATTTCTGAGAAACATGTACGTGACATACCGGTACCCTTGTGAGATAAAACATGAGCCCTAATTCGGAGTTTCTTGCTACATTTAAAAATTTAAACAACATTCCTACGATTTTATTATACATGAAGGACATACTTACCAAATAAACACCAGCATGCCGTGAAGATGTTGAAAATAGAACGATATTGCGTTGAACTTCGCCAAAGTAAACT